GCCATGAGACTCAAAGGAGTCCTGAGAGCCAAGGAGAGGACCTGGGACCCAAGGAGAGAACCTGGGACCCCAGGAGAGGCCCTGGGACCCAAAGGGGAGGCCCTGAGACCTAAAGGAGTCCTGGGACCCAAGGAGAGGCCCTGCATGGGACCCGATGAGGACCCGGGACAGGAATAGCGGGGACATGGGACAACAGGATAACGGTTTGAGCAACGCAAGAGGTAGGCGACCTACGCCCCTTAATGCGTGAGAAAAGATTGTTGACAAGTTGGAACAGGACGGTCAAGTTGGAACTTAAGTTTCATCGATGAATCGCCTGTAGTTACGACTAAAACACTCAAAGATCGAGCGGAATAAACTCACATATTTGGTACATTTTGGAGGCGTGGGTGGAAATGCGGGGTCGGTCGAAATGATACAAAATGTTTAGTGCTCTGTTTTTTCGTGAACACAACCTTGGTTTAACAGTTAATAACATTCAAAATGCGTTTTTTTATATATTAAAAAGCAGTGAGCCGCAGCCCTAGCAAGGTGGTTGGGTTGCCCTATGAAGTCAGAAAATTTTAATGGGATTTCAGGTAATTTTCATTTCAGGTGTATTTTATATCGCTTAAATTTTTTGTCAAAAATACAAAAAAATAAATAAATAGATAATCGCATGATAAATTTAAAGGTTATCGTTCTACAAACAATATTCATGATATTCCAAACAAGTCATGATGCAGACAAGATAAACTTTATCATATTTAAGATAATCGCGATAATCAAGACTCATAAGCGGGACGATCAATCGATCGTCGAGGTCAAGGGAAACTAAATGCAATTCCAATTAAATATCCAAAAGATATCGGAAATAGGGACGGAGAAATTCAGCCTTGGAAACCATTACCAAATCGCAAGCTTTGAGTTGCATTTAGAGCGGCAAAGTATGACTAACTTTTTAATTAAGTATTTGATTCAATTCAGCCAGATATTTGCTTTGGATGAATTAAGAGGGGAAACGAGGAGTTTCTTGAAGAAAAATGTACGTCAATTTTTAAAAAAAGAAACGAATATTCGCAATGAACATGTATATTTGCAATGAACATGTATTTCGTTCTACAAACAATATTCATGATATTCCAAACAAGTCATGTTGCAGACAAGATAAACTTTATCACATTTAAGATAATCGCGATAATCAAGACTCATAAGCGGGACGATCAATCGATCGTCGAGGTCAAGGGAAACTAAATGCAATTCCAATTAAATATCCAAAAGATATCGGAAATAGGGACGGAGAAATTCAGCCTTGGAAACCATTACCAAATCGCAAGCTTTGAGTTGCATTTAGAGCGGCAAAGTATGACTAACTTTTTAATTAAGTATTTGATTCAATTCAGCCAGATATTTGCTTTGGATGAATTAAGAGGGGAAACGAGGAGTTTCTTGAAGAAAAATGCACGTCAATTTTTTAATAAAGAAACGAATATTCGCAATGAACATGTATATTTGCAATGAACATGTATATTAGCCCGTAACTCCAGACACAAGCGTTATTACTGCGGATGAAACGCAGGGTAAACTTCAACAGCACAACTGCGGGAAGAAAGCCACGTAAACAAACGAGAGGCAAATAAGTTCTGTAAATTACTGTAAAGATAAGTTTGTACCCTGTAACTAGGCCTACACAGACCCTGTAACTAGGCCTACACAGACCCTGTAACTAGGCCTACACAGACCCTGTAACTAGGCCTACACAGACCCTGTAACTAGGCCTACGCAGACCCTGTAACTAGGCCTACGCAGACCCTGTAACTAGGCCTACGCAGACCTTTAATAATAGAGCGTGAGCTTTCACAACCAAAGTGTGCACTCAAATAAATCAATGGGCCACATTGTCCAAATATTGACACACTTTTTTACCCCCAGCACGAGCAGAGGGCGGGCGTAGCACTGATGCGCCCTATTGCTGGGTCAAAACTGAGTCAGGATGACCCAACAAGGATAAAAAGTGCATCGGTATTTGGACAAAGTTTAGCTTATTTCTCTGAGTGTAGGCCTACTGACATGTAGAGGCCTGCTGGTCCTGAACTTTACAAGGGAAGCTAACGCGCCTCTGTGGGAACAGCGCGATAAGATAGCAAGATAATAAGTATTTAGATAAAGATAAGAACTTAGGTGAAGAAAACAAGCTAAATGCTCTGCTGCATATGACTGATGCGACGTTCGAACGTGTTGCCAACTCGTTAGCAACTTGTTAGCAACTTATTGCCAACTAGTTTCCAACTTGTTGCCAACTAGTTCCCAACTTGTTGCCAACTTGTTAGCAACTTATTGCCAACTAGTTCCCAACTTGTTAGCAACTTGTTGCCAACTAGTTCCCAACTTGTTGCCAACTAGTTCCCAACTTGTTAGCAACTTGTTGCCAACTAGTTCCCAACTTGTTAGCAACTTGTTGCGAACTAGTTGGCAACTTGAATCGATCGCAGCTTATTAGTCAAAATTATGAATTCTAATGAAATGCTCAACAAATATCAAAATTTTATGCATCTAAAATTATACAATTATTCATTTTAATAATAAAGTCAACTTTAAGATTCTCGAATTTCTTACTTAAAATAAATAACTTTTCTGGCCAGTCGGAGGAAAATCCCTTACAATGAGGTTAAGCGTTTTAAAAAAATAAAACTTACAGATTTTAGAGTAGTACGAGATTTTGGAAAATTGAAAAAGTCGAGTTTACTTTTCCAGGGCTTCGGGAATTAAGAGGTCATAATTGTGAGTAAAGTTATTTAAGTACAATGAACGACGGTGAGCGGCATGACTCAGTGACCGTGAGTAACGATGAGTCAGAATAGTGAACAAACACAGCACAGTGAACACACGTCTAACTTATCACCATCATTATCATCATTATTATTCGTTGAAGAGCATCAAGAATCACCACACACAACAAAATCATCGATGTCGGTCCTCGTTAATATATTAATATTATTATTATTATATCCGCTTGCGTATAAGACAATATCATCATGTACAGAAAAAGGAGATTTGACAACAATATACACAGATGAGCTTAGACCTATTATTGAGTCTAAAGACTTAGGCCTATTTTATTAGCGAGCAGCTGAACGTTTTGGGGCAGCTTGTAGCGAGGCGTCAGCAGCATAATTTTACATATTTTCATGTTCATGCGAACATTCCATCACGAGACCAAATCTTGGTTACACTGTCTGAGGGTTGAACCTGGGTTGTGGTATCATCGACAAGTTTTCGTCTTGAACCACACACCATTACTCGGCATAACCTTGGAACCATCATGTCAAATTAGTAAATCTTTCCCGTCAGAATTGCATTTCTCTTTTAGGCTGAAACGTCCGTAACTTTTTGTTCCAGACCCCAGGTTATTCACCGCTTTGGACGCAAGCCCTCTTGCTCCACTCCCTCAAGCTACTGTCCAGCCATCGAAGTCTACGTAAATGCGCCCTTCGCGGAAGGCTGCAAGACAAAAGTCTCCTTGCCCGAAACTGGGGAGGAAGTCTTATTTCGATACACAAGAAGCACCAGGAAGTCCACTCTATCATTGTGGACTGAAGCAATCAACTCAAATACATGCACGGGCTTGACCTGAAGTCAGTCTAATCCTTCGCCGCTTATGCACTTCGAAAACTGGTTGCACTCTCACTACTCTAAACAAAATTGGATAACGCCAAAGTTTCTGTCCAGGAGTAACTACACTCGGCTTAGGGTTAGTTTGGGTCTGCTTTGGCTACTCGATCGACATCAGCTACTTGTCAGAATCTCCTTTCTGACTTTAAAGGGACATGAGAGTATGACAAGTGTGTCCTGAGAGATGACAATTGTGTCCTGAGAGTATGACAAGTGTGTCCTGAGAGTATGACAAGTGTGTCCTGAGAGTATGACAAGTGTGTCCTGAGAGTATGACAAGTGTGTCCTGAGAGTATGACAAGTGTGTGCTGAGAGTATGACAAGTGTGTCCTGAGAGTATGACAGGGGTTGGCCTGGCCGAATCATACCGAGCTGCCCAGAGGCTGCCCTTCAAACCCAGAGCCGAAGCGAACATTGAGCGGCTGATTTACGCGCTCCCCGAGTCCTGGGCGGCACTTGAAGCAGAGTCGAGCCCGCATCCAAATTTTGTAAGGGTAGTAAACCAGATATGGTACCCACGGTACCCAAACATGGTACCAATAGTACCCTGTGAACATTCGTTGCTTTATACAATACGTCTCTAGGATAGTTAGGACTACAATAATCAGGACTTTAGGAGGAACGTCGATGCCAACGAAGGATCAGTGCGAGATCAAGGAGTAGCGCAAGGGCTCGACCGCCCCAACGGCCAGCGGTACAAGTCTCGCCCCAACATTGTGCACACATTAATATGGTATAAAAAAGCTAGAAACAATCAACTGACATAGACACCGGGAACGAAAGAAGTGAGCACTCGATGTAGCTAAACGAAACACTCAACGCTATTTACGAAACATGGCGCGAAGCAGCAACACCAACAACGCTTTAACAACACTCCTATTATCGCTGCTTCAACACTCTCATCTTCGGTGCTTTAACACTCCACATTAATCGCCACTCCAAACACTCCAATCACCGCAGCATCAACACCCACCAACAAGAGTCAGAAAGTGAGCATGTCTTTGAGTACCTATATATTATCAGTAGCATCATTATCATTAAACTAATCATCAAAAAATTGATGACGGCAACAAATAAGAATAAGAACGAACGCTTTACCTCGACCGCTAATATGTAATCAGATTGCAGACGAAGATGAGGATTTGTTGGCATGTTCCATGACGACGACGACGATGTTGAGGCTCTAACATCCTATGTACACATGAGCAACGTACGAGCAGGAGTCGGCGCTCAGCGAGGAACCGCGAGTAGGAGGAGCAACGACGGCTGGCACCGCCCCCTTCCGTCGGGTTGTACCGCCCATTCCTTCTAAAAGTATCACCCTTTCAGAGAGTAGTACCGACCCTTTCCTAAAGTGGTACGCCCTTAAAACGTTATCAACATCGTTATAAGGATAGTTGTTCTATCTGCGATAAAGAGACACCTCATTATTTACAAACACTCAGAGGGGAGATATTGCCACAGGCTGTGGTATCAACCCCTCAGCCGTGGCCCCTTGCCCAAGCTTACCCTTTACGCGTTTTCATAACGCACCACATACGCGTAACAATAACGCACCACATACGCGTAATAATAACGCACCACATACGCGTAATAATAACGCACCACATACGCGTATTGATTACGCACCACATACGCGTATTATTCACATGCGCCAAGATAGAAACCTTTTTTCTTGCCTTTGGAAACAATAAAAGAAAAAGTTTAAAGCAAATTCGTATCTTAGAAGCTGCCGAAGTTCATGCCCATGCCCGAGTGCTTGATGCGCTCGAACATGGCGTTCTGGGGGTAGCCTTGGGCATAGGGGGAGTTGCTGTAGGGGGAGGGGTAGGGGAAGCGAGGGGAGGGCACGTGGAAGCCAGGGGGAGCTGAGGAGTGGTAGTGGGGGAATGAAGAGTGGGAGGCTGGGGAGGGATAGTGCGGAGGACCTGCGTCCCCATACTGAGAGTATGGGTAGGGGAGCTGTGATGCTGACATTTGGGAGTGTAAGGCTCCCATCGCACCCATGGCACCCATTCCTCCCCCAGCTGACATGGGGGACATGGCGCTCGCGGACCCCATAAGCCCCGGAGACCCCATAAACGATGAACCCATTGGGGGAGTGGGGGCTAGCATGGGGGAGCCCATGATGTCGGGGTAGGAGGAGTGGGAGAGGGAGGGTCCTGGGGGAGCGGGGGAGTAGGAGGAGCTGCTGTAGAGGGAGGGGTATATCCTGGGGACTGGCCGAATTGATGTGGGGTGTTGCCCCTGCCACTCCCCGGGGGGTTGTGGGGATGAATACCGGGGTGAAGGCCCGCGTTATTAGAGCCTGGGGTGAGAGGCCCGTTGTGGGTTGAGTGACTCATCCCTCCCCCACCGGGGTGAGTGGGGGTCAACCCACTCCCCTGATGCATCCCACTCATTGGGGAATGCATGTATTGCTGCTGGCTATGCATGCCAGGGCCTCCATGTTGCCCCATGACGGGAGGCTGTCCCCCAGCCCCGTACTGTGGGGAGAACGTGTGCGTGTTGTGGTTGGGGCTAAAGCCCTGTGGGGACATGATGCCGTTCATGTGGTTCAGAGCCATGTGGTGGGGGGAATCATGTAGGGACATGCCCCCCATGTGCCCCATGGGAGGGCCATGGGCCTGCTGCAGCATCTCCTTCAGGGCCTTAGGCTTGCGTCCCGGGCGCTTGGGCGGCGGGATGGACCCGTCGGGCAGAAGCTTCTTGGGTCGCCCGCGCTTCTTCCGGGGAATTTCATCCATCAGTGGGGAGCTCAACCCATTACACATCATGGCCCCGGGGGGACCAAGTGGCCCTGGGGGGCCAATGCCCCCCATCTGCTGCTGTTGGGACAGGGACCGCTGACGCGGGCGGTCGGGAAGGTTCGGGTCATCAGGGGTCTTCTTGGGTCGTCCCCGCTTCTTCCTGATGGGGATTGTGGGACAGTCAAGGCTCTCGAGCTGCTCCCTGGACATGCCGTTGAGTTTGAAGAGGGACTGCGGGGTGATCTTAGCGACGTCCTCGTCGTCCTCGAGTTCCTCCTTGACGCAGAGGTCGCTCATCTCCATCTTGATGGCGTCCTCGCCCAGCATCATGCTGCCGTCCCCTCCAGGAGAAAACAGCAGGTCTCGCTGAGACTCATCCCCCATCATTGTGTCTCGTCTCAAACCTTCATCTCCACCCATCATGTCTCTTCTCATGCTTTCTTCACCACCCATCATGTCTCGTCTCATACTCTCTTCACCACCCATCATATCTCTCCTCATGGCATCGTCTCCACCCATCATGTCTCGTCTCATACTCTCTTCACCGCCCATCATGTCTCCCTTCATGCCCTCTTCTCCACCCATCATGTCTCTTCTCATGCCGTCTTCTCCGCTGCCCCCGCCCATGCCATCTCTCCGCATGGCGCCCATTCCGTCCACCGACATATTGTCCATCATTTCCGACTTGATCATCTTCTCCCTGACCATCATATCGACGTGCATTTCTTCACCCATGGACTTATGCATGTCACTGCCCATTAAACTCTTGTGCATGTCCTCAGCCAGCATGTCCCGGGGGTGCAACATGTCGTTTCCCATGAAATCCTCGACGATCGCTTCCCCTTTCAAGATGGAGTCGCCGGCAAGAGCTGCCATCTTCTCAGGGTCTTTCTTGAGGTTCCTTATTTTGACGTTGGCGAAGGCGATATCCTCCTCCTTGAGCTCGTCTAAGGTGCCCTTAAGGAAGTCCCTGAATTTTCTAAGGGCAGTGTAGAAGGGGACTTTGTCCAAGGCCCTGGGCAGCTGGGCACAGCGGGCTGAGGACGACGGCATCACCCACACGTGCTGTAAAGAAAAGTACATTGCCAGTGTTGTAATATGGGTAGAATCAACACATGACAACACTGAAATACCGAGAGAAATAAAGAATATTAAGGCCTTAAGAGTCCCGAGGAAATATGCACCCTGAGTTTTTTATGTGCCAGCCCATAAAAAACCATGGGCGAAATCTGTTTTTTATGGGCCAGCCCATTTTATGGGCACCGACCTCGGCCAGCCATGCTTATGCACCACCTTCGACGTCTAACAAGCCTAGCTCGCCCACCAGCGGCACCGAGAAATGAACAGAGCTTCCCGAGGCTCGAACCCTCGACTAACTCGTCTCATCTCAGTGCCGCTACCACTGCGCTACAGTGGCTAGGTAATAACAAAGAATAACATTTAACTCATAATCTGCAGCGATATTACTAAAATAATCGGAGACAATGCATTGTAAAAATTGTAAGGAAAAAAAGTGAGCAGTAAGGCAGTGTAAAGAAGTGAGCATTAAAGTAGTAGAGACTGCTCACCGTGCTGGTGCCCTCTATCTTCTCAGGCTGGCGGCCGAAGGAGAACTCCTTCTTGCCGGAGAAGATCTCGTAGATTCCTTTGCCGTTGAAGACTGCGATCCTGGGCTGATATTGCTGCAGCTTTGACAGCAGGTGCTGACCTCCTGCAAACATGGATACATTTACACCACGATTCAACATATTTTGAAGTAACTATTTCACCTTTAAACATTTTTCGTCCGAAGTGTCGTTGGCAGATCGTGAAAAAATTAACTTATAGGGTACGCACATAGTGAAAGTAGGTTTACCTGCTCTAACCTGCCACAAGAATGAACATAGGATAATAATGTAAGTAAATGTTCACAGTGAAAACCTGTACGAATAGGCTTCTGTATTCTATTGTTTCAGGTGCCAGCCTGAGCAGGTAACCAGCACGCTGGCAACCTGCTTTCACTGTGTGCGTACCCTTAGGCTTTGCATCAGCTCGTCATGAAATCTATGAGACACCATGAGCAGGATAGAGCTGCATAACCATGCAAGCACACGGCAGATTTAAGTCTATATGCTTTATCTACCCTTGATCTCATAACCAAATGAACCACATTTCTGTTGTTGAATCAATCATCTCATTTTGATTATATTATAAGTTTAGAGCATCTGTGATGAGACGCAATATTCGCTTGACGCGGAAGAGTTTGATGAAACACTAGAGACTGAGTCAACATCAACAACATCACGTGAGCAAGACCGCCCGAATGACACTCGTTTGTGGGCGGAAGTACTAAGTCTATAAAAGGACTGGGAAATCATTGTTAGAGTTACTACAACCTGACGGTCGAAGCTAAGTCTATACCTTGTATCTGTCTGTACCTCTGTAATGACTTTGTAACGGAACTACCCGTATCAAGATAAGCTGAAGTTAGAATGTGTCTTTACTTATCCCTAACATAGTCACCGAACACCTATCCTCAGGTTAATCGTATGAGGTATATTAATCAGGGTGTCACTTGAAAATTTCCTCGGTCAGTGGCACCCTGATATTGCCTTATTCTGACAGGGAGTGCCGCCCAAACAAACTATATTTTCTTTCCTGACACATCTGCTCACCCTTGAACCTGTCCTTTGCCTGCATGCAGTTTAAGATTGTCTATACACTTTTCTTGATGCCAGTCCCTTCAAAGAACCACAAACTCGTGTCAACTCTTGCATTAATCTAGTGTAATTTCACTGCCCGATAGCTTTGAGTTTTACTATCTACCATAAGGTTTAAAATTCAGAAATGCAAGATACACCGATCAATTGAAAATAAATGATAAAACGAATATTGTAAAAATTTCGCACTCTTCACGAGCGTCAGGTGCGAAATTTACCTTCTCGGTTACATTTATATACGAAGTTAACCTAAGTTATCCTAACCTCAAAAGTATGCAAATAGGCAGCAGGAATAACATTCGGAATTTCAAATCTCTATCTTATTTAGTAGGATAAATATAGCACATAGACTTAGTAAAAAAATTCCACAGGAGGCAACATCGGTCTGTGTGACGACTGACGCGGTAAAGCGGCCTCTTGACTTATCAATGGACGCTTATAATAAGCATCGATAACACAAAATAAACGTTTTCCAGAATTACGTTGTAAATAAGATGATGGGGATTATTATCACACAGAGTCAGGATTGTGATCATAGCCCTGTCTCTGTTCCTCCTTTATCAACGGCTTCCAGTCCTGTATTTGAACTGTACACTCTTCTTGATTAACTTTAAGGGTGTTACTCACCCTCCTTGATCTCCTTGCGGGTGTTACTCACCCTCCTTAATCTCCTTGCGGTTGAAGGGTGTTACTCACCCTCCTTGATCTCCTTGCGGGTGAGTTCGGCAGAGCCGCGGGTGGTGCGGGCGACGATGTTGGTGAAGCCGATGCCGTGGTGCAGGAGCTGGTGGTCGTCGTCACACGTCAGCGGCTCGGGGATGAGACCGGAGAGGAAGAGGCACTTCCCTAGAGGGGAGAGGGATACTGGGGGAATAAGGGGGAGTGAGGGGAGGGGGATACTGGGGGAATAAGGGGGAGTGAGGGGAGAGGGATACTGGGGGAGTTAGGGGAGCTAAGGGGAAACGGGGAGGAAGTCTAAGCAAAACACGGGACGATGTTGAATAGCAGCAAGTTGGGGAAAATTAAGACACCCGTGGGGCTGCATGGGGAGGCATGATGAACTTTTCACTAACAGGGGTGGGGAAGGTGGGGAATGGGGATGAAACAATCGACTTTATATTTAATCTCATTTCATGACAGAACTTAGCTAAAATCGAAGTAATTACGTTCAAGGCATGGTAGTGGCATGGTGGTGGCATGGTAGTGACAAGGTAGTGGCATGGTAGTGACATGGTAGTGACATGGTAGTGGCAAGGTAGTGACATGGTAGTGACATGGTAGTGACATGGTAGTGGCATGGTAGTGACAAGGTAGTGGCATGGTAGTGGCATGGTAGTGACAAGGTAGTGGCATGGTAGTGGCATGGTAGTGGCATGGTAGTGGCATGGTAGTGACAAGGTAGTGGCATGGTAGTGACATATTAGTGACACGACCACCAGGTACTTACAGAAGTGGTTGCCAGGTCCAGCGTAGTGGTGCCCCTTGTAGGCCGCAAACAAACCTGGATTTATGCCTATCTGGAATGGGAATTTAGAGATCTACATGTTACCATTATTATACTGTTCTCGCCGGCATGCAGCCACTGGTTGGTTACTACATACCGATACATTCAGCTAATTAACATACAGGTACCACTTAATAACCCTACACATATTACATAATTACCCTTCAAGTAACATATAATTACCCTACACATACCACATAATTACCCTTCAAGTAACATATAATTACCCTACACATACCACATAATTACCCTTCAAGTAACATATAATTACCCTACACATACAACATAATTACCCTTCAAGTAACATATAATTACCCTACACATACAACATAATTACCTTACACATACTACATAATTACCTACAGGTACTACATAATTACCCTACACATACAACATAATTACCTTACAAGTAACATATAATTACCCTACACATACCTCATAATTACCCTACACGTACTACATAATTACCCTACACATACTACATAATTACCCTACACGTGCTACATAATTACCCTACACATACTACATAATTACCCTACACGTACCACATAATTACCCTACACATACTACATAATTACCCTACACGTGCTACATAATTACCCTACACATACCACATCATTACCCTACACGTACCACATAATTACCCTACACATACCACATAATTACCCCACACGTACCACATAATTACCCTACACATATTACATAATTAACCTACACGTGCTAGGTACGTAATTACCCTGCAAATAACATAATTACCCTAAACATATCACATAATTACCTTACACATACAACAAAATTAACCTACACGTGCTAGGTACGTAATTACCCTGCAAATAACACAATTACCCTAAACATATCACATAATTTCCCTATACGTATAATATAATTACCCTACATATACCACATAATTACCGAGAGATGTAACTATAAGGTAATAGGTATATAACATGTAACTATAAACTACCAGCGGTTGCCAGAAATGTGTATAATGAAAGACATTAACTAACTTTTATTAATTCATTTTTTTAATACAAAGCAAAATTGACTAATAAGTTATGATGACTGCGAGAGAATAACATAATATTTTTAAGCCTCACATCTGAAACAACGCAACTAACGTTAAATAAATGCCTAAACTCTTACTCGTAACTCCTCATAACGTCTGTTTTCTTCATATAAATAAAATAGATAATAAATATCTTATACTGAATTTTGACATAGAAATAACTGCACTAGCAAACAACTGCAAATAACCATAATTTTCAAAATTTAGGGTAATAATGCAATTATTACCCTAAATATTACCCTAATTAGGGTAATAACGCAATTATTACCCTAAATATTACCCTAATTAGGGTAATAACGCAATTATTACCCTAATTCCACAGTTACCCTAAAAGCATATTACTGCTCCTACCTAAATAATATGGTATATTCATAATAATTATTCATTACATAATAATTCATTGATAATTCTAATTATTTATTAAAAAACTATATTCGCCACCTACAGACTAGTGTAACACAGAACCATGTGTAGGATCATCACTAGTATCTCAGTGCCATGTATACACACAAATCACAGTACATACTAATATTATACTTTATACACGCCCCACACAATCACAGTCATTACATAATAATTCATTGATAATTCTAATTATTTATTAAAAAACTATATTCGCCACCTACAGACTAGTGTAACACAGAACCATGTGTAGGATCATCACTAGTATCTCAGTGCCATGTATACACACAAATCACAGTACATACTAATATTATACTTTATACACGCCCCACACAATCNTAGCAACTCACAATCACTATGTCGAGGTTGAGCCCACACCCCCCACACACCCCACACACCACACCCCCCACACCCCAGATTGCAACTCACAATCACTATGTCGAGGTTAGGCCCGAGATGGTCAGGTAGGACGCGCTTGACCACCTCGTCCTCCGCGAGGCCATCAAATCTGTCCATCTTCTTCCTGGGCTTGATGAGCGCGGGGCCCAGCTTGCCGTCCGGGCCCAGGGCCTTCAACTTGCGCTTCTTGGCCTCGTGGGCCGCCTGGGCCGCCGCCATCAGAAGTGGGTCACTGTGGGGACACAAGTGGGTCAGGGGGACAGGAGCTATGGGGGATCAAAAGTGGGTCAAAGGGGCAGGAGTTAGATGGACCAGAAGTGGATCAGAGGGACAGGAGTTGGGGGACCAGAAGTGGGTCAGGGGGACAGGAGTTGGGGGACCAGAAGTGGGTCATTGGCTACCTATGTATATCATCAAGTGATATGTATGGATAAACATCCATGCATATTGAGGATTAAATTATGATGAATATTGATGGATCAGAGGACAAAAGTTTTACTCTCAAGCTTGTTTACTGTAACGAAAATTTAAGGCTGACAGAGACCTAAAACAAAGAGATGTAAGAGATGATATAGATATGAATAGCTGGATGGATATGAATAGGCCATTTCTAGGGAATGGCAGAGATAAATAACCAAAACTAAATTTATACGAAGTTCTGGGGTCTAGCAAAGGGGTTAATCTAACCCTCTCAAAAACGATTTTGAAACTTCAACTGTTCTTAGTTCCAAACATTGAATGAATGGATGAATGGGTGAATTAACAGACCGCAACTAGCATCTTGTCCTAAACTAAAATACTGCGATATTATAATTAGATCTTGCCAACCAAAACTAGTATGCTAAGGCCCCTACAACTAGACGCCAGCAGCCCTTAACTAAGATCATGCAGCCAAAATATCATCTGCCTAACTTGCATTAGGCAGCCCTGACTAGTCATGTGGTTAGCATGTGCTAACCATGTGGTTGCCCTAACTATGATTATTTATCATCTGCCTAACTTGCATTAGGCAGCCCAGACTAGTCATGTGGTTAGCATGTGCTAACCATGTGGTTGCCCTAACTATGATTATGTGGTTGCCCAAACTGGGTAATGTGTTTGCTATATGTCATTCGTTTGTCCTAACTAAGTTAACGTGGTTGTCTGAACTAAGGGCATGTGGTTGCCCAAACTAGGGTCATGTGGTTGGCTTAACTACGGGCACGTGGATGCCTTAACTAAGGGCATGTGGTTGCCTTAACTAAAGACATGTGGTTGCCCTAACTAGCGTCATGTGGTCGGTATGTTATTGTGGCCTCACTTAAGGTTGGTGGGCATGAGGTCGGCCTCAGGGTCGACGCTTTTCTTCTTCCTCTTCTTGGCCTCGTGAGCCGCAAGCGCCGCTGCGATTGCCATCGGATCCCCACTGAAAAAAAAATCGTTCAGGATCACCCATCCAAAAACGTCCGAATACGAAAAATATCCTGGAGTCGCCCAAAAAACTAAGACCATCATCACTGGCGAGGAATAGCATCAAAGTCACCCATCAGAAAAGTTTCGTCTACGGCCACTACTATTAGGACGAAACCTGGATTTCCCATCAAAAAATCTCTCATGAAACATTGTCCTAGGCTGCGAAAAGCGCTAAACGTTTAAAAAATTCAGCTAGACTTGAACGTCCACGCCACTAGATGAAGTTGTGAACTTATCATAGGATAAAGAAGAGTTCTAGATAACCTAGATAACGAGTAATCCTAGACGTAACTTTGGAGCCCTAGTACAAAAAGACGGCGTGGTCACTTCGGTCACTATACAAGCTACTATTTCAGTGGTACCTACTTCAGTAACTCAAAGTAGTTGGGTAATTGGGTTATATGACCGCTCCCGTGAACGACTGGGACTGAATGACTAATGAGAAGGGCAAACCTAATAAATCATCTCGATGGAATTCAATGGAAAATTAAGAGAAAAAGTGAAGGATCGATGCGAATCTATGAATACACATGAGTGCAGATGAACAAACTGATGAGTAACTTACGATGAATCTCATGAAGAAATGTAAAATAGAGAAGTAGATCAATACATCCGTATATATAAATATATATTTTTTGAAATTTTTACAATCGGCAGCAAGATGCGGACATCGTTTAACGTTATTAGACATCGAAACACGCTGACTTTGCTAAGTAATCGACAATGAGAGTACGCATGTCGGAACCAAGAGGTCGGCGAACACCTTAGCTGCCTTCATTAATCTGATTAATCTTGGGTAACTGTTTCTCTGAAAAATATTTACCTTAAACAATTGACCATTACTCACCCTTTCTCCAGTGCACGATAACAGCTGCTCTACACTCACCCGTTCTCCATTTGAACGAACTAGTAATGCAGTGCACTCACCCGCTCTCCAGAAGAACGAAAAAGAAACGCCTTACACTCACCCGTTCTGCGGATGCCTGAATCAGAAACGCTCTACACTCCTCCGTTGTCCAGATGCAAGAAATCGTAACGCTCTACACTTACCCGTTCTCCAGATGCCTGAATCAGAAACGCTCTACACTCCCCGTTCTCCAAATGAACGAAAAAGAAACTCCTTACACTCACCCGTTCTCCAGATGCAAGAAATCGTAACGCTCTACACTCACCCGTTCTCCAACTGCAAGAAATAGTAACGCTCTACACTCAACCGTTCTCCAGCTGCAATAAATAGTAACGCTCTCCACTCACCCGTTCTCCAGCTGCAAGAAATAGTAACGCTCTACACTCAACCGTTCTCCAGCTGCAATAAATAGTAACGCTCTCCACTCACCTGTTCTTCAGATGCAAGAAATAGTAACGCTCTACACTCACCGGTTTATTAGATGCACCAATTTAGAAGCGCTCTACACTCACTCGTTCTCCAGATGCAAGAAATGGTAGCGCTCTACATTCACCCGTTCTCCAGCTGCAAGAAATAGTAACGCTCTACACTCACCCGTTCTCAACATGCAAGAAATAGTAACGCTCTACACTCACCCTTTAATAAGATGCACGAATTAGAAGAGCTCTACACTCACTGGTTCTCAATATGCAAGAAATATTAACGCTCTACACTCACCCGTTTACAAGATGCACGAATTAGAAGCGCTCTACACTCACCCGTTCTCCATGAGCTTGATGTGCTTGGGTTTCCGCCCTCTTCTCTTGGGTTGCTGGTTGCCCAGAACTTCATCCACGGGTCTGGGTGAAGGTCCCGTGTATTCATCCACGAAACTATACGGGTCTCCTTCCCTTCCCGTAGGCCCACGGGGCCCCATGCCCTGCGGACCCATGTGGCACCCTTGGCCGGAGTACGGCTGTTGGGGCATGGGCATCTGGCCGTACTGCTGTGGATCCCCTGGGTACTGACCACCGTGGTACGGCTGCTGATGTGGGGGAGGAACGTGGGGAGGGGGATTTCTTGAGGCTGAATTCTGGTATCCTGGGGACATGGGGGACAGGTTTCCTCCCATGCCATGCCCCGGGTAGTTGGGGTAGTGTTGTGTACTTTGCATGGTCTGGTCTGATGCCCCGCCACTCTGTTGTTGCTGTGGGGAGTACCCGTGACATGCAGACCCGCCATGTGGGGCTGCCATGTGCTGTTGGGGTCCAAGTGGGGAGTTTTCATGTGTTCCGGGGTCAGGACCCCCCATGGCATGATGTGAGGGCATCTGGGCCCCACCCTGGTAGGCCTGGTATGGGTCTGGGTCAGATTTGTGGTTCACTCGGTCCGACATGAGGGCGTCGGAGCTGCTGCTGTCGAACCAGTCTTTGTTGCCGCCATCTTTGCTCAGCTTGTTGCTGTCGTGAGTAGGTCAGAGTTAGCGCGGAGAATTTTAATATAATATTAAATATTAAAATAATGTTTCAAACCTTTTTCGTATATAATATGCTGACAGTATAACTCGCTAAATTTACTGGTGAATTTCAATTGCAAGGGGTTAGGTCAATTGATTTTAGTCGGACGTCAACATGACTCAGCAATGTTACTCAAATATAATATTAGAGAGATACGTTAGCACATGCAGGGCAATCGCTACGGGCACGTGCTTACGGAAGATGCTGGCAACGATCAAACTACAATCCGTCAACAAGAATTAAATTTTACAAAGTTGAGAACAGTGGCACAGTGGCGGGCGGATTGACCGCCAGCCATAGGCTGGCCTCCGATACGCCGACCATGATTTTCACGAGGTTTCATGTGGTTATGGGTTATGAAAGGAAGTTCATGCATGTGATGCGTTGGTGGAACATGGGTCACCACACAGTGAATGAGTCAGTCGTGCTGCAAACACTTTACTGCAGACAACACTGTGCATAACGGGCGTTTTAAATCTTATTAAAGTGTTTGCAACACGAGTAACTCAGTGAGGGTATGATAGGTTGATATAGGGATAGGTTAGTTGATGCGTACGACGCGGGATGCACTCAAGCCTAGACGATGACAACCTAGATGATGATACCTACACCTAGATGATGATACCTACACCTAGATGATGATACCTACACCTAGATGATGATACCTACACCTAGATGATGATACCTACAGCTGGATGATGATACCTAGATCTAGATGATGATACCTACACCTAGATGATGATACCTACATCTAGTTATTGATACCTAGACCTAGCTGATTCGTTGAGAGCGCCTAAATTCTTGGTATATCATTCTAACGTGTGAGATGGTGATAATATAGATTATAGATGATGAATAATACAGAATATAGATATAGACCATTATAATAATTGAGAGTATCTGGCATCGAAGTGCATCGATTTCACCAAACAGAAGCCGTAATGACGGTCATTTATACGCATCAAAAACAAATGGAACATCGCACCTATCATGCACCAGACCAGTGACTACATTGATGTAGAGAAAAAACATATCTGCGTCCACTAAATTAGTAATCGATGTTATGCATTACTCAGACCTACAGGTATTATCGACGGTGAATATACCCTTGGCCTCGTTTGCCGCTGTTCCTTACGACCAAATCTTCTAGATATTACATATCACATTAAATCATTCAATTTCCGAGCAAATTACGGTTTTAGACACCGAGAATATAATCATATATAAAGGGTGTTTATATATATATATAATCATATATATATATAAACACCGAGAATAGAAATTATCTTTTGAAAAAAGAAGTCGAATGAATTGAAAGTCATGTATCAATCAGCCGGCATGAATTTGACCCGATAATTTGAAAGTTCATTTAAACACACAAATGCACACACCCACACATACACAAAAACACAGACACTCTAACATGGCTTGGTATGGCTAGTGTTGTAGATGACAGATCCTTGCAGTGACAGACGAGAGGATGGTGACAGGGTGAACCATGTGACAGGGTGANTGGCTAGTGTTGTAGATGACAGATCCTTGCAGTGACAGACGAGAGGATGGTGACAGGGTGAACCATGTGACAGGGTGAGCCATATGACAGGGTGAGCCATATGACAGGGCGAGCCACATGACAGACGAGAGGATGGTGACAGGGTGAACCATGTGACAGGGTGAGCCATATGACAGGGTGAGCCACATGACAGACGAGAGGATGGTGGCAGGGTGAATCATGTGACAGGGTGAGCCATGTGACAGGGGGAGCCATGTGACAGGGGGAGCTATGAGACAGGGGGAGCCATGTGACAGGGTGAGCCATGTGACAGGGTGAGCCATATGACAGAGGGAACCGTATGATAGGTTGAGGCAGCCATATAGCAGGGAGGTGTGTACCTTAAAGAGTCCATGTGCATGTTCCAGTAGCCCTCATGTCCACCCTGGTGTTGGGACTTGATGGATTGATGGTAGTGGTCTTGCTGGGCGTCATGTTGGCTATGATGAGGCGAGTCCTTCATCTGTAGACCCTCATTGTACGGTCTATGTGGGGACGGAGACTGCTGCATCGCATGGTGGGGTGGACGGTGAAGAGCGGCGGGGTTGAATTCTAGGTGATACCTCCCATCCTGCGGACCACCATCACCTTTCCGTAAAGGGGAACTTTGGTTGAGAGGGGAGTCGATGGATCGTCCACCTTGGTAACTCAACGGATTGATGGGGAGATGTGGAGAGTTCTGGTGATGGTGGTGGAAGTGGGGAGAATCGTGGGGATGCATGCGAGGGGAGCCGTGGGGATGGAGGTGTTGGGAAGACGACTCGTTCGACAAAGGTGAATCCCGATGCATGAATGGCGAATTTCTATGTTTCTGCAGCAGCGACGAAGATGAGGATGACGATAAACTCTGTTCCGTTGAGCTGGCAGCGGTAGAGGGGGAGTTCTGCATGGACGTATTGTGCGGCAGGTATTGTTGACTTAGAGGATTCGCTGGATTTGGCGAATTTTGGTGGTAGGATCTCAGATCCGTCGAAGGATGTGAGTCGAACGGTGGATACGAATGGTTTTCCGACCCTGAATATGAGCCACTCATTGAAGATGATATAGAACTACTCATTGAATGATGGTCTTTGTCGCTTACGCTAGAACCTTGGAAATACTCTTCTCTTGATGAAGAGATATCATGCTTATGGAAACCAGAAGTGAAAGATTCAGCTTTAGGAACTTTATCTCCGGATGAAGAATCGGATCCTGTCTGATCGGGTGGACCTGTTATGCTGTCAGAGGTGGGATACGTCGACGATGTCGTATCCTGTCTACTGAAGGAGTCAGACACGCAGGAAGGATGACCCATGACAGGCCGGTCGGCCGAAGAGGGGGACGAAGAATCCCGGACCGCGGGATGGGGAGGACTTTGATTCGGGAGGAGTTTCGGGGAGGGGGAGATGTCGAAATTCGAACGAGTCGTGTTCGAGCTTGAAGAATAATTGTTGGTGTTAGGTGCAGGAGCACCGACGTCTTCGGTGCAAAGAGCAGGTAAGTTAATTGACTTGGAAGTCACGAGAGGCGATGAGGGACTTGAACCTTGTCCATTAGCTTCGTCGGCTTGATCGACAACTTTTCTGAGAGGACGAAAGCATGAAATTAAGATTAATAACTTACAAGCAACACTCGCCTACATATGCTTCCATAAATGTACGGCCAAACGGGCACTCGAGACCCGACCTACGACGGTTCGTCTAGGAATTCCAAAAAGAGTTAAAATAACTTGTCATTTTCAGAAAAAAGAAGAATTATTCTGTACCGCGGAGCACCTGCAATTAAACTACATTTTTGCAAGAGTAAAACTTGAAGAAGAAAAAAGATACATTCCAACTGCTGTAACAAGTTATGGATAATTCAATACTGATAACTAATCAAAGAATTCATGCTATTACACAAAACGAAAATGATGGTAAATGTGTTACTTATATTACACAGGTAACGAACTTAGATAGTTATCAACCACTTAACTAAAGAAGAACTACAAAGAATATAGAAGATAGCCAATGTAAAGTCACTAGGAAAAGAAACGTAGAAAAACGGAGAAACAATAAGACAACGGTGAGGGATATAAGGAAATGGTTAGGGATAAAAAGGGATGGTGAGGGATAGAAAAAAAATTGTGAGGGGTGAAAAGAAATTGCGAGAGATAGAAGAGAGTAGCGAGGAATAGATGATAATGTTGAGGGATAGAAGATAATGGTGAGGGATATATGAGAATGGTTGAGGGTTAGAAGAGAATAGTAAGGGATAGATGAGAATGGTGAGGTTAGAAAAGAATGTTGAGGGATAGAAGATAATGGCGAGTGATATATGAGAATGGTGAGGTTAGAAAAGAATGTTGAGGGATAGAAGGGAATGGTAGGTAGAGGGAAATTAAAAAATTACATAAAAGAGAAATAGGAAAAAGATGCGGGACAGGATGTAGGAGCCGAGGATGCAGTGGGCGGCCATCTTTAATTCTTTGCTTAGGAGGCGTGAAGCTGGCAGACCCCCCACTCTGCTGGCAGACCCCCCCACTCTGCTGGCAGACCCCCCACTCTGCTGGCAGACCCCCCCACTCTGCTGGCAGACCCCCCACTCTGCTGGCAGACCCCCCCACTCTGCTGGCAGACCCCCCNTTAGACATGAGCGTACACATTAGACATGAGCGTACACATTAGACATGAGCGTACACATTAGACATGCCATGCACAGCCTGACCAGGAGACTGCAAGCAGACATGCCTAGCGTCTAGTTGTACCTATACACTTAATATAGGCGTGACTGTCCCCTAGACTTGCCTAGCGTCTAGTTGTACCTATACACTTAATATAGGCGTGACTATACCCTAGACTTGCCTAGCCTCTAGCTCTACCCTCATCCCCGCTCCCCTCTCTCGCAGCACGCAGCTCTACATATAATAATAATGTTTATATGTTATTATATACATAGAGATGTATATACATCTCTTTATATACATGTAATAATAATGTATATATATATCTGTACTTTGTTTTTCTCTCCAATAAGTTATATTCTCCCTCATTGTTCCTATACGACCCTCACTTCTTCTCTCTACCCTTTTTTCCAGACATGCCCTCACTGCTCCCTCTTCAGACGTTCCCTCTCTTCCCCTTTTCGGTATGCAGTTCCCTCCTCGCGCGCTTCCCTCTCTTCCCTCTTCCCCTCAAATAACTTGGATATTCCCACAGATTCCAATATTATATATTCCAAAAATTTATTTCATTAAGAGAGTATATATTAAAAATAATATTTATGTCTACATTTATTACAAGTGTACAGGTCCCCTTCCTCCCCACGTGGGGAAGGGGAGAGGGAGGTACTCACGGGGGGAGGTCGAGAGGGGAAGGCTGGCGAGGGGAAGCGTGGCTCAGCTCCTCCATCACACCTCTCAGGGGGGGTGGG